TACAAACATCTGCTAAGGGACAGTAAGAAGGTCGCTATATTTAGTCACTAAAAGAGAAGGCTCAGGACTGACTTGATAATGATTTTAATTACCTACTTAGTGAAAAGTGGTGTAGAATTGTTTTCACTCTGTAGTCCAAGGACATATTTCCAAGGGGGCCACAAAAACCAGGAGAAACACAGCTAGCTCCTGTAAGCTTAGATTTGCTCTGCAGGGTTGTGAATTTCCACAGGAACATTTTTAGAATTGAACAAATTGGGAGAGGTTGAAGGCCACTGAACAGCCATCTCATGAGCTAGGAGCCAGCATCAAACTGGAAATAAACTGCAAATCACTTTGCTTGAAACAGAAAGTGTAATTAACTGTTGGACTGCAACATACATTGCTGTGGCAAATTACCCATATTTGATTTACATAATCTTTCTAAAAGATGTGCTTTAATTCACTGAAATTTGCTGGTTTGCATGAGGAAAATTCCACAGACATGTAGGAGGCTGTATTAGATTATGAAAATAGTTTATTCTGTCCTTAAAGGCAATTAATACATGTTCAGCTCATTTTTATCATAAATTGCATACCACTTCTGGGGTGTGGCAGCAAAGCAAATAAGATGATTTACTCAATTTCCACACGTCTGGGTTGGCACTTTCCTCCAGACTCATGCTTCAGGCTGTCTTCATTTGACCTAACTGTAAGTGATAGCCAGGTTCTGGGGCTTTGGACTCAAAAGTGTCCAAACATGATGCTAAAGTCATCACTATTTTTTTCTGTCATTTTTTGTAGACAATGGTGTGCCCCTCTAAGCCTGATGGGCCATCTGATGTTCTTGATGTGACTATGTATCTAACTGTCTCAAGTCATCTTTGAATTGCACCTCACTTCATTTGGAGAAGACTTATGGAATGCCAACATTTCTGCTGGCACAATGGAGAAATACAAACTTCAAAATAAATTAAATGGCCAAGTCTTTTAATACGTTTCTTTCATAAAAATTACCCAAAAAAAATGCTTTTTGAAGACAGAATGTCTTCAAAAGACAGCATATGAAGAATGAAAATGAAAGACACTCTGGTTTTACTTCACTGATAAAGCATGCAAAACTAATATGGGAAAGACTATAAAACTCCAGTAAGTGTTCCTGGAGGTTTGGGACTGTGGCAAGGATCTTAAGGCACTGATTTTTTTTTTAATATATCTCATACGTTTACCGCTAGCAAAATTAAGATTAATGCCATATGTTTTGCAGATGTCAAGAAAGGGAGTAAATGGTGTAAAGAAAATATAAATATCAGTGTTAATTATGCAATTCTTAATTTTACATGTTTTTCTTAGGAAAAGAATTGACGTATCTGGGAAAATATTTAGATTGTGGAATGTCACAAAATTTTTTTAGTTTCATTAATTCAGCAAGATTATAAGAGACAACTAAACTAAATCTATGAGCAAAATGACAGAAATGTGTGTTTTTTTCTTTGGATCTAAAAAAGCAGGTGCTTGAGCTGAAGTTATAGCAGACCTAATATCTAAAAAAGCAGTATCAGCTTTTATGAGGTGACAACAGTATCTGGAAAAATAAAAGAAATAAATACTTAGCCTTTTCAAAATATAGATTTGAGGGCATGCAGCCAAGATCAAATTAATCAAAACATGATCAAACACCCCCCCTTCCAACATACTGTAAGGCAGCATGTTACACTGTAAAGCCAAAGCAAAGCTAAAAGCAGTAGCACAGTCTAAAATAATATAGCTTTTATGGAAGTGAGCAATAAACATTATAAAAGCAGGTGGTCAGAAGACACCCTGTGTGCACTATTGTGTGCACTGTCCTTCAAGCAAATGAAAAATTAACTTTTTAGAAACTAAATTACTGATGACTTACTTCAATGCATTTTAAGGAGCAACTTAATGAAGAAGTGACAGTGGTTGCTCACACAGAATTATACACATAGTAGAGCTCTTCAGGACATACAGTGAAGAAACTCTAAGCCCATTTAGATAGATTAATTTCTAATATGTTGATCCAGTTAATTATGATGTAAAATATTTGAAAAGGACAAAGGTGGAAGGCTGCATCTCTGGAGGCCACTATGACTTAAGAGGATGAGAATTACTTGTACACTACAGTGATAGATAGTTAAGATAAAAATTATATAGTAAAACTATTGTATGTGCTCCAGAAAAAGCTTATTTACAGGCACACATTCTAAGGTCAAGAGGGACCAGTAAGGTCAGAAGAAGACATCTGTTTTGATCTTCTCTATAAAAATATGTAGATTTTCTGCCAGTAGTTTCTGCCTCAAGCCTGGAATTTCTCTAGAGCAGCTCAGGTCATAAAACTTTTTCTTCCATTTTTTAGTAAAGTAAGCACAGAGAAATAACAATAGTGTGAATGTTGAAAATCCCTCTTCTGTATTTGTGACTAACATTATCTCAAAAAATGGCAACAGGTTGTGGTGCTGCTCTTCTTCACTCTCTGAGCCACATTTTGTCCCCTTTGCTTTGCATTGCTCTGGCCTTTGGTGTTTCGATTGAAATAATGCTGAGAGCTTTGGATTCCATCAAGAATTTTCTTAGAAGTGTTTAGTTTGGACTCCGCTATCCTGGTTGCTTAATTAAGAGATAACATAATTATCAGAAATTGTAAGAAAATTGCTTTTCAGACAGTATAGGATGCCACTAGGACTTAGGAAGATGCTGTATATTGACATTAGGACCTAACGTAGGATGACAAACTAAAATTCTCTTTTGTGGTTCTGTTTTTTCCCTTATTCCCCAGCCTCCACAACCTGTCTATTAATAACTGGTTTTCCCATCATTCAGTAGGGGATATACTCAGATGTGAACCATTTTCATACTGCGCAAAGTTCTACACTTCCAGTAATGCAGATTAATTACAGTCTTTCCTGTGCTTATATTTTCTTATATTTTCTTTGATTTACTTGCAAAATCTCCTATTTTCCCCCAAATTTTTGCTGAAATTCCCACTGTGTTACAGGATTAATATCTATGGTGCACAGCTGGGAAGTCAGTTTGCAAGTGTACAAGAATGAGCAGACTTGCATCAGCAGGTCACTATTGAAACCCACCCACAAGAGCTGCCAGCAGAGATTGCCTCCTAAGAAGTTGTATTGTTTTTCACTCAGTCAATGTGCTGCTAACTAATGGGAGAGAAATACTGAGAATCATTTGGGTTTTTTCTGATATTTATGAGCCAAATTAATTGTTTTGTTTGCCTGATTTATTATACTCGAATGGATAAAGTACTATTAATATTGCACTTTGAGGAAGAAGTTAAGACCAGAATAGTCAAAACATTACTCATCAATTTTATAAAAGGGAACAAAATTAGATGCTCTTTTTAGAATGTGCATATGTGTAACTCACTTCAGTTCAAAGTGTATGCATGTCACACCAAACTTTGTGCCAATATATTTTCTGTGTCTACAATAATCTTCCAAATAGCTGTTTCTGTAAAACAGAAGTATTTCAACTTTTACACATTCTAGCTGTTCTGTCCAAGTCAGATACTGAAAAAGACAACATGAAATTAGTGATTATTACTTGGTCTCCAAAATAAAATATGTTTGACACAATGGAAGCGTTTGGGGCATTTGTAAATGTGTCATCAATGTCTAAGTATCAGTTACTTGACATAATACCTAATATTTATTTCATTTTCTCCTTATAAGCTCCTTGGGAATGAAAGTATTTTTTTATTGTTCTTTGCTTGTTTAGACAATAACACAAATTGAGCAGAAGTCATTCCAGAGACAAGGTAAGAGCACCAGGCTACAGCTAATCCTACAGTTGCTTCCCATAAGGTCTTGTACTCACTCCCTGGTGTCTCATATGGTTATGGACAATTAGGTCCCTGTTTGTTGAAATTGCCACAAAGAGCATGATACCTTTTCACTACCCATCCTACTATTTGCACAGTGACCCAGCATCACTGAAGGGTGGTGTTATGATTTGCTTAAATCTTCTTTTGCTCTGAGATGTCAGGGTGTCTCCATGTATAAATATTGACAAGTAAATTTTTTAGCATCTTTATACTTTTTTAATCCCTTCCTTCTTTCTTTCCGTCCTCTCTGTCTAACCTTACATGCATATTGCAAGCCATTACTGGGGGAAGGCTTTCCAAAGGAGGCCCATTCTGCATTTCACTCTAAAGCACAGCTCAGATGAGAACAGAGTTGTTGGGGTAAGGAATTTTCTGTACCAGAGACATTTACAGGAGCTGTTTTGCCATGAGGTCCTAGAACTTTGCTCTGCAGTCTGCGATCTGCAACATCTTTGGAGAATCTTAATATCAAGGTGGTCTGTAGGCTGAAAACTGTCCAGTGTTACTGCTGGTCTGTTGAATAAGAGACTTACGGCTTAGAATTAAGAACAGCAATTAGATCCAGAAGCAAGTGTGCATACATTAGAACATATACAGCCCTGGAGTAATGCATTCCTAATACTCATATCAAACAAATTGGCATCCATGTGGCTTTCCTTTTCTTCTTCAGTGAGAGTTAGACACAGAGTAGGAATTACTGTAGGAAGCTCTTGGTCTGGGAGAAGAGGGTTGTCTTTGAAATAACTATCACACTGAAAACTTTCCAGCCTAAGCCTTTCATTAATTTCTCTGTCATCTTAATATATTTAAACTCTGTAAAAAATTATGCTGCAAAAATTTCTCCCCGTGTAATTTTTCCTCAAGTGAAGTGCATACCTTTCAAATTATAAACTTCCTACTTGTCCTAGGAAAATCCTCACTGTATAAATAATTGAACTCATCTGCTGTGAACACAAGTATTCTTTCTCTAGCAGTCTGAAATATATGCATAAATACACATCTTGTACTTACTGCTTTAAATAGTGATTACTCCTCTGAAGTCACTGGAAGCCCTTAAAAGGATTTGACAGTTTCCCCACAATCTTTCAGTGAATGTAGTAGCTGGGCTGCGCAGTGCTACATCCACTGATAATTCAGCAGCTGAGGAACTCAGCAAAGCCTGCTCCAAACTTCTCAGCTGTTGACAGGCTTGACTTGCTGAGAACACTGGTTAAATATAGCACAAGCGAGCTGAGCTCAACAAAGTCATTGCTGTAACACTGTGTGAAGAGACCAGAAGAGGGGAAATACAATCTGAGAACTAAACTGCCAAAGCCTAACACCACCTAGCAACAGTTGAAAAAACTTTTAAACAAAAGTCTGGGTGAGACACAGACAGAGTATACCTCCTACTTCTCCTGCCTGGGATTTCTGCGAGAAGCAGCTCCAGTCTTCTGTTCTCTACCACATTTCCTTCATTACTTCAGCTGCTGGTAGACCTAGAAAAGTGGGAAAATTTCTGTCTTTGTGTTCTCCCGGGCTGGATCAGTCTACTACTGTGGTAGTAGTGTGGGACGAGCTACTGCAATCTTGTGGTGTAAAGGATATATTCCTAGGTTCGTGTTGCTGACAGGTAAGACTGGGCTAACCACTCCAATACATTATTTTTAAAAGAAGTTATTTTATTTTCTAGTGACTATTGTGTCTTTCCTTCTATGAACAATCTTCTGCATGATTCGGAAACATCAGTAGATGATAATTGGGGAAAAAAGTTTTAGATTTTTTTTTTTACACTTTCATAACAAAAAAACATTGCTTAAATAACTTTTGCAGTTCTTAGAATCAGAATAATCAAGTAGTTAGTAGTAATATGAAAAAAATGTGTATAGATTTTGACATGTATCTTGCTTCTATTTGCTTACATGCTGACAGAAGACAAACCAATATTTAAGAATAGAATACATATCATCCCTTACTAGTGATAGTCTAGCAGCTATTTAAAACAGTGACAGCCTGTGTGATAAGTAAGAGGAAACAGCCATTCAGTAACTGATTTAACTGAATATTTTGTGATCCAGTTCATTTCTACTTTTTGTTTCCTTACTAACTTTGAGCCCACAGGCACACCTGGTGCCTTTCGTACTATCCTTGTGACAATAGCTCTTGGTTCTTCCTCTTGTACTTATTTACATAGAACTAATATTAATCTCTGCTTGATTGATTAGCTGTATAATGCAATCGTCCTAAAGACTGACCTTATGTTTATTGTACCCAAGTGTGATTGAGCTGGGCCATTGTTGTTAAAATATTTCTTTCTTTTAGAAAAAGAAATGAGAAATCAGCTCTCAGATGTTTTACCTTGAGAGCAGAAAGGAAGCTTGTTTGTTGGAAATGCATATCCTATGGCCCTATAATGGTCATGTAATTTAAAGGAGGAATTGCTTAGTATGATTTGCTTTGTCTAAGCTGACAAAAGCTGTTTGGTCAGTTGAAGAATGAATTCTCCCCCCCACCCCCTTTTTTAAAGTAATTTTCTCCAAACAAAAGAAATCTAGTATGTGTGGATTTTTAAAAGATGTACTGATTATGAATTCATATGCAATATGAATTCAGTTATGAAGGCAAAGATTTAAAGAATGCTCTTAACCAGTGCAAAAACCCCGCTCACAGATTTATGTAGAGCTGTCTCAGATGAAAAATATGTATCCTAAAGAAGGAATGGACTGACTGAGTCTATGCTGACTGTCAGTGGTGTTTGACAGTCTGTGGACTCTGGGACTGACACAGGAAGATGAGAAGGTCTTGCTTTAGCTAAACAATTCTAGTTTCAGCCCTGCATACTATATAAATGACATCAATACCACATCTTAGCAGTGACATGCTTACAGATTGGATGAAATTAAAATACTCTGAAGCAACTTTAACTTGGTGGCTGAGAATGTAACTGCTTGTGAAACAATACGATAAATGAGTATTAGGATGGAGGAAAATTCTTAAAAGCAAAAATAATATAGTTTGCATTTTATTTCATACTACTTGAGCATTAAATAAGGAATACTTTTTGGTGGCCATGATTTAATGTGATAATCATTACTGTGTAATTACTACAGCACTATAGTATCCCAAATCTAAATCTCAGAAGGAAACTTTGCTAATACTTTTTAATATAGGCATATTCCGAAGAAAGTTGTTTTTTCATAAGAAAGCTGTACAGTGAGAACTAAAGATGAGACAATATGATTCGTACCATTTTTGTCATCTTGGTATTAGACTGAAAATTACTGTTTCTTCTGTTGACAGAGTTAATTGGTAAATAATAAACTGTAGAGAAATGGTGAATTTGACCTTTTGAATATATAGGGATGACAAAATCAGTGAAAATGCTATGCTAATTATTGACTGCTTTTTGGTTTTAGTTGTTGCTAAGCATAAAGTATGATTTTACAGTTTCACTTTTCTTAAACAATTTACTTTCAGCAACGTTTTTAAAAGCAAAAGGCAAAATTATTAGCCTGATAACTGTCAAATTAAGTGGCTTTTGAACAGTCTGATAGCAACTTCCAACCCTTTAACACATGGAGCTGTGATTTTACATACATCTGTCTTCCTTTCCACTTTAAAATGGAGGAGGAGGCTAAAATTACTCTTCTCAACAGGTGTCCACAAAGAGGCTCTGGGATTTTCCAATCCAATCTGTGGAAGATGTAGTGTGGCTATTCAACAGATGGTTTCATATTTGAAGAATAGCCAATTCTACTAATGACTACAGTGAAACCAAGCTGAATTTTATATCAAATAAAAAAGTAATTTAGGTTTTGGTTATACACTCCATTGTAGAGATTTTCTTGGAAGACAAGTAGACATAGCATACACATTTATTTTCTCTATTATATATTATTTTGATTTTGTTTGTATTCCCATAACTGTGGAATGAATGGTGCCTTTCATGGTGCTAAAGACTGTGTATTTCTCCCAATCTGAATCCACTTCTAGACTCTACCTGTGTCTCGTTCTTTCACCTTCGTTGCAGCAATATTATAATTTATGGCCTCTTTTAGCCAATATAGCCACAGTTAGACATCATCTTAACTGAGTATTTTGTCATCATCTCAGTCTTTCAATGTCTTTATAGAATGTCTGGTTCTTTTTAACACCAAATTCAAAGACTTGAAATTCATCTTCAAAGCTCAGCACAGTTCTGTCCCTGACTACATCTGCCCTGATTTTCCCATACTCCTTCCACTCAGATCTAGTAGACTATTAACCTTTGGCTCTGGTGTTAACTGGTTCATCCTCTATGCTACTGGCTTTAGTAAGCTTGACATTGATATAATGACATAAGAGTTTTCTATAGTGCCTCTTACTTTAGCACCTGATACTAATGTCATGGAAGACTATACTCATCAACTAACAAAGCTGTGTTGACCAGGGTAGGACTCCTGAAGGTATAGTTGTGCTTCTTGGAAACAGCTTGTGGAGTAAGCGTAAGTATACTGGGAAATCTCTACTTTCACTGGTATGCCCTGTTTTGTTTCTCTGGGTCACAATTTCACCAATGTAGTAGCCATTGCCACACTAAAAGCTTTTTACTGATACAGGTGTATCAGTAAAACTCCTCCTGCTACTGGATCTTTCTGTTGACACAGATTCTATACATGCTTAATTTAAGGCTTTTGGTAATCTCATCTAACTCAGTTGGTGTGCCCCCAGACATAAATTAAGACTGTGCCTCAGAGCTGTGCTGAGTCAGAGGCCAGGTTTATGCCACTGAATTCAGAGTGAGATTTTCTTTGAGTTTAATAAAATCGGGTCTTAATCTTCAGTAATTAACAGATAAGTTCCCAGTCCCCTCAAGAGAATTTAACAAAATGGATCATCTATATTTCTGTCCAAATAATTTTTTTCCTAAGAGACATTTTACTTTTTTCTCTAATTTCCTGTTTCTTCCCTTCCTTTCTTAAGGTCTGTTGTTGCAGATTGCTGTACTGTTTTAATAAATAAACTGAATTTGAGGGCAGGGATTTTGTCTGTCTACATGTCTAAAATGCCATTCGAAGAAACAGAGCTATATTATTTGTGAAGAAGCCAAATGAAACAAGAAGATAAAGGAGAAGAATCTCCATCTATTAATCTATTTCCTATATCAAAAAAGATATTTAATCTATAAAACCCAAGATAAGAACTGAAAGCTTGAAAGATAAAATAGCATATTTGGTAAAATAATGATAATCTGTTGTATAGAAAAGTTTAAATATTTCTTTACAAGAAGCACAAGTACCTATACTTTTCAGCTTCGTCATTTTATTCTGGTGCTTTTCATTTTTAACCTTTTGTCTTTTCATTTCTCAGTGTTTTCTACTGTAAGTTTTTTCTTAATTTTATACAGAATACTGGGAATTACTTGGGGACTACAGGCTTTTCTTGTTATTGGAGGATACTGGATAACAAGGAAACAATCATTTCATAAAGAATTAAGATTTCTTAACCTCTCTTTTTTCTCATTTAATATCTAGTATTTGTACCAAGTTAGTGATACTAGAAAAATTAAGCGTTCATAACACAGACCTATAGTTATTCTTTGAGGTACTGGTGCCCAAAGGACAGGAACTATTGTGCCTATTTCCTGTTCAGGAGAGATAGTAGGAGTCTCTAATCATGTTGAAGGTTGTATGACTCCTAATGTATTTGTGAAAATTGTTCCTTTCTGGATACCTGATCAGATTTTTCCTTTTATTTTGGGTCTTTTCACCTACTTCTCCAACTTCTGTGGATAATCTGTACTTTCTGTATTACATTTTATTCTTACCATCATAGCAAAATAAGTGCTAATATCAATGCAAACACAAAGTCTTCCTAAATTGGGACTGCCTTTTATTTTTTTATTTTTTTACTTTTTAATTCAAGATGGCTTTGCCCTATCATTCTTATTCTGCTTTGGCTGGACTATATCTCTAAATCTTTTTCACAAGTGAAGCATGACATGTAAGATTACATAGATTGTGGTCTCCTCCAAAATGGTTTACACACTTTGCAAATACAGGGAGACAATTCCTAAAATTAAAAGCATCCTAGAAGTGCAATTGCGTTTTATTTTGAAATCAGTCATCTATAAACATACAGCTGTTAAAATACATGATTTATCTCAGGCTGTTTAGCAAGTAGTGTTCTGAGCCAATGAAATGTCATTGCTTTTTGTTCCCCCCAGTTAATAGGAAATTGTTATATGTGGTTATTGTAGAACGGAGAAGAAAATGAAGAATTCCAACATCCAGTTCCTTAATTTTGCAGCTCTATGAGAGCTGAAACAATCAGAAATGTGCGTATGTGTATGCATGTGTACGTGCCTTTTGTAAGACAAGAAATGCTTTTTGGCATTACAGAATGCATTGCTGAAGGAGTGGGACAAACACATCCGAAGTACAGGGAAATAGGCTGGAGCTTGTACTTTTTCCCTTAAATGGGCAACCCGTCTAGTTGCTGTTAGCTGACACAAGCAAAGGGGTGTGTGAATCTAAAAGACTGCTGTACGTGGTCCAAATGAATTTCATTTCAAAGCTGATAAAATGGCAATTAAAATCTTGACTATCTGTGATGTGGCCAGACTCATTCAGAACAAGAGCAAAAACATCAATG